GCCTGTGACAGGCGCTTCTGGTGGAGCCACACGCAACCCCTGGCTCAAAATCCCCGCCCAGTTACCCAGGCGAGATCCGTGCCACAGCAGCATCCTAAAGAGGGGAAAAGGAGGACGAAAGATGCAATTCAAAATATAGCCCAAGGATAGGTTTCGTTTTGCCATCAGCCCTCTTCTTACCTGTTGGGCAGGTCAAAACGGAAGCCGGCTTCTAAGCACTTCTTGTTCACTTCAAAGGCCTCGATCAGGGTCATTTTATAATTCTTGTGTGTGGGAGCATGAGTGGAGAGCAAGTAGCGTTCCAGCACCTGAAGGAGGACATGAAAGACTTAGAAATCCAGTTTGACACCCTTGTTCTATAGTCTTCTTATATGCCTTTGAGCTGTGGTGCAGGAGGCGGCTCCTGCATATATACGTTGGACAGAAAAGGTGAACTAACAAGCAAGTACTGGAGCGCATAACACCAGACACGTCACTATAAGACCAAATCATGAAACTCCCCACTCATCTTGGAGGGTGTTAGAAGGGGGAATTCACTGGAGAAAGCAATTATTTTTGGAAGAGGACTAAAAGGAATCCAGGCCATCAAAGAACATGGTGTGGCTGGACATCCTCAAAAGCTGACACCATCCAGAGCATAGAAAAACTCAAAAGTAGTAGTACAAGATCAGTAAGATGTAGAGAGGTGGTTAGGTGTATGGTTTTAACCCCGTGTTATTCTCATTACAGGACACACTTTTCTGCTGAGGGGAGGGCGGCCTGTCAGACCTGGAAGCCATCTTAGGCCTTCAGGCCTGCCACATTTTCTACTGTGGGAAAACAGGAGGGCGAATTGCATAGATTGTGGGCGATATATAGCCAAAATAGCACTCTTTCTCAGAGAGTCCTTGCCACTTTGCTCGCCAGCTGCGATGAGGTGACTCGGGAGGCATCTCCAGTTTTGGATGGTGCCTGATTGGATCCTGTGATGGACATGTGGGGAGGTTGGGCAGGGACTTGAAGTTTCTTTTGGGTGGGGAAAACTTGGAAACTTTCAGATTTTCCCAGACCTGCCAATAGGACACCTCTAATAAAATGGAACTTTGGGGGGGAAAATCAAGCCTTGGATAGCAATAGCAATAGCAGTTAGACTTATATACCGCTTCATAGGGCTTTCAGCCC